ACGCGTTAAGTACGTCTATTGCTGTATCACGGAACACGGTTTTTCATTTTCCTCGACTGTCGCTGAAAAAATTTTCTCTTCCTCTGAGTTTAGAACACTTTTTCTAAATTTTCTTTAAATGTAGGGGAGACTTGGTGTGGTTGTTACGCTGTGCAGTTGTTACAAATGGAATATCTCAGAAACAGTTAATTATAGCGATGGGGTTCCAAAGGGAAAAATGTTTAGTTTTTATGTACGAACTTGCTGCAATATGTTTAAAAATTATATGCAAGCTTTACAAGTAAAAAAATAGGCACATTGGTTTTTGGAGGCCAAAAGTAAATATTTCTCTACTTGATATTTTTTAAATAATTAATATATCTTAACGCTTAACAAAGTACATTTTTTAATATCAATTCTATGAGGATTAAGCTTCAAAAAACTGCCTTGGTTGTCCACATTTAGTGTACCGTAAACTGGGGCTATTAGGAACAAAATTCTGTTTTCAGGAGTTGATGCTATCGGCGCCGTTTATCGATAAATTGTGTTACTTGCTTTTGAAAAATTGTTGTTGCGGTAACTGGCAACACTTTTCAATGCAATAATTGTGATTATTAATTATTTTGTGAACAATAGTAGCTTGTAAGTGACTTAATGTGTTTTAGTAAAGTTTCAAACGTGGAAAACATTTGATTGCTGAGGTAAGTTGTTTCATTTTTAACTACTCAAAGTGATTGTTTTTTATTAATGGGATTTCTTATGGGAAACTTTATTGAGTTCAATAAGTAATAAATACGTTTATTTTGTATTTACAGTAAGATTTCAGAAACAAAAACCAAAATTCACAAACGGCGGGTATATAAGGAACACAATTATTTCTTCCGAATTGTTAAAGTGTGTTTTGTTGTCAAAACGTAAGTTTTTTGTAATTACTTTTGTTTTTATCACCTAATTTGGTTTTTAGTGTTCAAAGATGGTTCGAAATTGTGAAAAAATGTTGGTACCGACAAGTCGCAAAAAACGACCAGTGATTCCATCATCGACCTCAACTGATGATACCAGCAACGTTTAAAACAGACGTTCGCTCTTTTAGTTTTGTTTTTACATTTGTTTTATATTCTGTGTTTACTTTCGAGCAATAAAAAATAACTTCTTTAACTTTAAATACGTTTTCCAATGGTTTTTACCGCCTTGTTCCTAATAGCCTCATTTTGTAATTTCGAAAAAATGCGTCTTTTTTGCTTAAAATTCCAGCCTTGATTAAGATAATTATTTAACCCTTCAATGTGTTCATCAAGATAAAAAAATGAAACAAAAAATTAAGGCAATATTTCAATACACAAAAAAGTTGCAAGACTTTAACCCTTTGCGGCATGCATAACATTATGACATTAATTTAAAAATCACAAATGCTTATGAGGGTTTTCAGGGTCACTGATTACGAATCTGAAATCCGTTTTCCAAAATTCAAGATGACGGATCCAATATGGCGGACAAATTTTTTTAGAATTAATCCAAGTCGCTTAAAACTCGTTACTCGGAGGTTTTTGGGGTCGCTGATTACGAATCTGAAGTCCGTTTCCCAAAATTCAAAATGGCGGATCCAATATGGCGGACGAATTTTTTTATAATTGATCGAAATCGCTTGAAAATAGTTACTCAAGGGTTTTAAGGGTCGCTGATCACGAATCTGAAGTCCGTTTTTAAAAATTCAAGATTGCGGGTCCAATATGGCGGACGAATTATTTTAGAATTGATCGAAATCGCTTGAAAATAGTTACTCAGGGGTTTTTGGGGTCGCTAATTACGAATCTGAAGTCCGTTTTCCAAAATTCAAGATGGAGGATCCAATATGGCGGACGAATTTCTTATAATTGATCGAAATCGCTTGGAAATCGTTACTCGGGGGTTTTTGGGGTCGCTGATTACGAATCTGAAATTACTTTCAATAAATAAACATTAATTTATTGAATAATTGTACCGTCGGCATTTGCGTTACCCGATGTACACCGCGGGGAGGTTGCACGATCGGGTTTTGTACATCGTTTAGTCCTGAAAAGGGCAGTTTGGTAAATACTGTTCAAAACTTTATAATAACAATCAAAATGAGCTGTTTATTTCCTAATAAAATTAACTAATTAATTAAAATCAGCGGATTTTAATTGCTATTATAAAGTTTTGATGTGTCTTGCTTTGAACAATAATTGAATTTTATTTTCAGCAGTGGTAAGCAGCGAAGCAATTCGCTTTCAGCAAAATTTATTTGCTTTAGTCCAGTTAGTATTTTAGTGTCTTTGAACTTTCAACAGTGTTTTGTTTATTGTTTGTTCTAATCAACGTAAATATGCGTTCAGTCAAATATTACTGATTTATAACTTGTCCTTTTTGCGATTGTCATTTGTTTCGTCAAACTATGAATAGTGTTTTGTTTATTGTGTGTTACCATCAACGTAGGTATGCGTTCAGTTAAATAATTCTGAATTAGAACTTGTCTTTTTTACGCTTGTCATTTGTTTCGTCAAACTATCGATAGTATTTTGTTTATTGTTTGTTACCATCAACGTAGATATGCGGTCAGTCAAATAATGCTGAATTAGAACTTGTCTTTTTAGGGTTCCGTACACCTACGGTGTATCGGCGGAACCCTATTGGTGAGACTCTTGTGTCCGTAGCCAAATCGTGTCCCCCCCCTAGCGGGTAAACTATTTGACCTAAAGAGCTCAAATTTTGTCCAGATATGTATTTTCACTCGTAGATTACAGGAAAAATATAGCGAATGTGATTGAACGTGATGGGCATAGCGTTGTCAAGGAAATAACAAGATTTTTGGCCAAAAATGCATAAAAAGTGACCATTCCCCCCCCTTAACTTCTAAAGTATTCGACATGGAGAGCTGAAATTTTGCATGATGATGTATTTTCACTCGAATATTACAGGAAAAATATAGAGAACTTGATATGTAATAATGTTCATAGCGTTGTAAAGGAAAAACTAAAAAATTTTTGAAAAATTTTTTTTTTTAACTTTTACATTATTTGATCTAATTAGCTGAAAATTGGTACACTAATGTATTATTACAGTCTGACGACAAAAAATTTATTTAAGGAACTTTTTAAAAAAAAATTTTTTTTTTAATTTTCTTTTTCAAATTTTTTTTTTTTTTAGTTATAACACGTGGCATTAAATATTTTAAGGACGAGCGAAATTTCAAGAGAATAAATGAGAGATTGTTTTCTCCCTTTAATTTCTTAACTAGAAATAAAAAAAAAAATTGGACAAGTGCGAGTTGTACTCGCACTGCAATGGCGGGTTCCGTACACAAATATATTAAAACAATACTTGAAACATTTATCGGTAATTGGTAGAATTAAAATAAACAAAAAAAATATATTAAAATTATTTGATAAAAAAATAACTAAAAAAATTAAAGTATTGTATATCTAATATTGTAAACAATAATAAGTAGAGGAACTAATTTTGAAAATTTTGTTCCTCTACTTATTATTGTTTACAATTTTACATATACAACACTTTAATTTTTTTTAGTTATTTTTTTATCAAATAATTTTAATATATTTTTTTTTGTTTATTTTAATTCTACCAATTACCGATAAATGTTTCAAGTATTGTTTTAATATATTTGTGTACGGAACCCGCCATTGCAGTGCGAGTTCAACTCGCACTTGTCCAATTTTTTACGCTTGTCATTTGTTTCGTCAAACTATGGATAGTATTTTGTTTATTGTTTGTTACCATCAACGTAGGTATGCATTCAGTAAAATAATGTTCAATTAGAACTTGTCTTTTTTGCGCTTCTCATTTGTTTTGTCAAACTCTGAATAATGTTTTGTTTATTGTTTGTTATCATCAACGCAGGTATGCGTTCAGTCAAATAATTCTGAATTAGGGCTAATTTTTCTTTGTGTTTTTTATTTATTTCTTGTAATTTAAACTTATATTCTGTGAAAAAGTATAAGTTTTTCGTCTTTCATTTGTGTTTCTGTTTTTTATTTCTTGCTTAGTGCGTGAACGTGCTTTTAGTAAAAAGAATTTTTTTTCCACTTTCAGTCTTTTGTTCGTTTTTTAGCAGCATTTACTTGATTTCAGTGTATATACAGTGTCTTTTAACTCAGAAGTGTTTTCTTTATTTTTTGTTACCAATAACGTGGATATTCGTGCAGTCAAATAATACTAATTTAGAGCTTGTCTTCTATTGCGATTGCCATTTGTTTTTGTATTTTATATTATTTTCAGTATCCTATTTTTCGTGACTTTGCCCGTTGGTTTTTTGTTTCCTTTCTTGTGCTCATTGTGCTGCTATTATAATTATATTTAACTGAGAACATAGAGGAAGAAGTGGAGTTGGTCGATATTCCAAGTGATAGTGACTCTATTGATGACTTATGTGTTTTCGATATTGATGATGATTTGAACATTAGGGATAAACGAAATAAAGCTACTAAGCAGAGTAGTTCTGCTATCTTTGATGAAGAAGATTCTGCAGACGATGTCTCAGATAGTGATGAAAAGTGGGTAAAATCAGGAAAGAGGAAAAGGGATGCTCCCTTTACTAGAAATGTTGGACCTAATATTCCCGATAATGTCAAAACGCCATCAGAAATATTTCTTTGCTTATTTTCCGATGATTTGCTTGACTTGATTGTTCAAGAAACAAATCGTTATTTGCAACAAAAGGGATATAAACAACCACGCACTACTAAAGAAGAATTGTTGATTTTCTTGGGCATTAATATTTTAATGGGTGTTAAAAATTCTCCTTCTTATCGGGATTACTGGTCTGCCAATCCGCAACTAAATGATCCTTACATAAGTTCGTTGATGTCTGTTGTTAGATTCGGATTTTTTCTTGGTTGTTTACACATCACCGATAACAGTACAGAACCAAAAAAGGGTAATGCGGCTTATGACAAGTTATATAAATTGCGGCCTTTTCTAAATAAGGTGAATGAAAATTTTAAAAAACTTTTATGCCAAATAAATACCAAAGTGTCGATGAATCTATGATAAAATTCAAAGGCCGCAGTAGCATGAAACAATACATGCCACTCAAACCTATAAAACGGGGATATAAGTGCTGGGTTCGAGCAGATCCATCAGGTTATGTATGCGAATTTCAGATGTACACAGGTAAAACTAAAAGTACGGAAAAGCAGTTAGGAGCAAGAGTAGTAAAAGATCTCACTCGCGAATTGAAGGGCAACAATCACCATGTTTATTTTGATAACTTTTTCACAGGGGTAGATCTTATGATATATCTGAAAAAAGATAAAATTTTTGCTTGCGGTACTGTACGTCAGAATCGATCAAGATTGCCAAAAAGTAAAGTGCAAGACAAACAAATGAAACATGGTGATAGCGAATTCCGAACATCGAATACGGGTATTCGATGGGTCAAATGGATGGACAAGAAGGCAGTCTACTTCTTGTCTAACTATCATGACCCTCGTGAAACTGCGTCGGTGAATCGGAAACAAAAAGATGGCACGCTGAAACCCACCAGTTGTCCTGTAATGGCTTTTGACTACAACAAACACATGGGCTATGTAGATAAGGCTGACCATCTCTTGTCAACATATAACATTGACAGGAAATCTAAGAAATGGTGGCATAGAATATTCTTCCATTTCTTAGATGTCATTGTTGTCAATGCGTATATTTTGTACAAAGAGAAGAGATTGAACCCAACTTTGACTGCGAAAGAATTCAGGTTACGTTTAGTAGATGAATTGGTAGGACACAAACTACCAAGTTCAACTGGGAAGAAACGTAAATTGAGTACAATCTCTTCTTACAAACCAAAAGTGTCAGAGGAAAAAAGAAAAAGTCAATCAGCTCATATGCCTGAAATTATCGCTTCACCTAGACGCTGCGCTCATTGCAGTACTAAAGCCGACCAAAAGCGAACATCATGGATGTGTAAAACTTGCAATGTACCACTCTGCCTGCATCCCACAAGAAATTGCTTCGCTGCTTACCACTGCTGAAAATAAAATTCAATTGTCCAAAGCAAGACACATCAAAACTTTATAATAGCAATTAAAATGCGCTGATTTTAATTAATTAGTTAATTTTATTAGGAAATAAACAGCTCATTTTGATTATTATTATAAAGTTTTGAACAGTATTTACCAAACTGCCCTTTTCAGGGCTAAACGATGTACAAAACCCGATCGTGCAACCTCCCCGCGGTGTACATCGGGTAACGCAAATGCCGACGGTACAATTATTCAATAAATTAACGTTTATTTATTGAAAGTAATTTCAGATTCGTAATCAGCGACCCCAAAAACCCCCTAATAACGATTTCCAAGCGATTTCGATCAATTATAAGAAATTCGTCCGCCATATTGGATCCTCCATCTTGAATTTTGGAAAACGGACTTCAGATTCGTAATTAGCGACCCCAAAAACCCCCGAGTAACTATTTTCAAGCGATTTCGATCAATTTTAAAAAAATTCGTCCGCCATATTGGACCCGCCATCTTGAATTTTTAAAAACGGACTTCAGATTCGTGATCAGCCACCCTAAAAACCCCCCAGTATTCAGTTTCAAGCCATTATAATTAATTTTTGATCTCGTTGTCCGCCATATTGGATCCGCCATTTTGAATATTGGGAAACGGACTTCAGATTCGTAATCAGCGACCCCAAAAACCCCCGAGTAAAGACTTACAATCAATTTCGATTGAATTTAAAAAAAAAATTTTTTTGTTCTTTAATTTATTTATTTACAGTTGTTTATAATTTCACGTAACCTCATTTACTATCAATTTTTCGACATTCAACAATATTTTGATTATTAATAAACAAAGATTTAATCTTTGTAATCTGGGTTACCACTATGCCGCAAAGGGTTAAAGTTGAAATCTGTTCCTAATAGCCCCAGTTTACGGTATACTTTTTTAATAAAGTGATTTATTGTAAAAAATGAACCTGTTGTGTAGTTGTTACAAGTGATGATGACAACAGATATTTTTTCCAAAATTCAGTAGATTCGTTTGAAATGTAAAATATTTGGTTTAAATGGACAAAAAGAAATCTACTGTTACCGACAGAAAGTTCCTAGAGAATTGTTAAACAATGAAATTTCATTGTTTTGTTGAATTTACCACAATTCTCTAGGAACTTTCTGTCGGTAACAGTAGATTTCTTTTAGTCCATTTCGTCCATTTTACCACTTCATTTATTCACATGGTAAATTCTGTCGCGCTTATTAAACTTTGCTTTTACCAATTTTTAACAAATATTCACTGCTTCTTATCGAAATCGGCATTTTTACATTCCAGGACAATTGTGCTTTCAATTTATAATGTGTACTCTGGTCTTGTGATTTTAATTTTAATGGTAAAATAAGACCGTATTCGGCGGATGAAAAAAAGATTGAGTCAGACGTCCCAATACGGTTTTTACTCGAATCCGTATTGGCTCAGAGCTTCACTCAATTCCTAAACGCTCCACTCAATACTTCTTTTTTTACTGGGTTTGATTTAACTGTATGACCAAACAAATTGGAGTTAAACTCTATTCACTGTAACTGATTTCATCAAAATTGTAACAACTGCACTTAGTCTCCCCTAGTCTATTTCGTCGATAACTGCCCGTGTAGAAATTGAAAATAGGATTTAATAAGGCCCTGAATAGACGCCCTTTTGTTTAGTGACAAACTAGGAAAATTAGTCAGGACCTGTCTCATTTCATCACGCTTGAAATATCAGGTGATGATGTGGAAAAATAGAGAGGTTCTAACTAGATCGCCCTGTCACTGTCTGAATAGAAAAGCAGAATGTGGGGATTTAACTAGAGGGACTCTTTAGCGCCTCATTATTTTCTTTAAACACCCAAGCAAAAATTTACGACCGGCGCAATATTGCGCCAGTAACACTGAACAAGTCACTAAACAAACACACATGTAAACAACACTGTTTTGACCAATCAACCTGTCACTATCATCTTAACACTAACACTAACGCATAACTGCTCTCTTAATCAGAATCAGCGAAATTTCATTGATTCTCAGTGATAAGTATGACACTATTTTCAAACAGCGTATATGCACTAATTGATCAGTGAAATTTCACTGATTTTTTAGTGAACTTTCACTAATTCACAGCGCATATACGCTAATAGAAATAGTGTCATACTTATCGCTGATTTAGATTTAGAGAGTAACACTAACTCCCCTACTGAAAAAGAACGACTGTAAATAAGAGCGTAAATATGACGGTGAATACGACCCTAAATACGGGCATAAATACGAGCTTGAGTATGGTGGTGTAATTAAAACAATAAATACAGCCGTACTTATGCCCGTATTTACTGTCGTATATGAATACTATTTTTTCTATATATATATTAAATATAATATTGCACTAAAATAATATATTATTTTAGGTGAGTATTGAATTACAGTGGTACTGAAGAACAGGCCACGAGGTCCGCTCTCCACCACTCGAACCTCACTCCACCAAGCGTCGCGCGCATCTTCATTAGTATATAACAATAATCACATCTCTTTCTTACAAAACAGAATAATTTGTTGTATTAACCCTTTGCGTCACAGTGGGTCGCTCAGCGACCCACCTTTTCCTTCTCAGTTTTCAGTATTTCTATGGCATATTTATTAATAAATTTAGGGTTTTTTTCGGGCATGTTCCTCATACCTAAACAAGTCTTAGAAAACTGTTGATTCACAATTTGTTAATAATAAAAATATTATAAACAAATAAATAACAAAAAATAATGCTTCTTTTTCAGAAAAAATTCATTTTCTACTTATCCTTACTAATTTTTGATATGATAATTTTTTTTCTTTACAAATTAGATCCTAAACTATATTTACAATTACTTTTTTGAAATTTTTTTTTCTAATTTTTAATAATAAATAACAATTTTTTGTAATATTTTATAAAATAAAAGTATTTCAGATGAAATTTCAAACCTATTTTCATAAAACTCGTTACTCGGGGGTTTTTGGTGTCGCTGAATACGAATCTAGCATCAGATTTTTAAAATTCAAAATGGCGGATCCAATATGGCGGACGCGAAAATTAAAATGAACTGAATTTGCTTGAAACTGGTTACTCAAGGTTTTTCGGGGTCTCTGAATACGAATCTGGCATCAGATTTTCAAAATTCAAAATGGCGGATCCAATATGGCGGACGCGAAAATTAAAAATAAACTGAATTTGCTTAAAACTGGTTACTCAGGGGTTTTTGGGGTCGCTGAATACGAATCTGGCATCAGAGTTTCAAAATTGAAAATGGCGGATCCGATATGGCGGACGCGAAAATAAAAAAACCGGACAAGTGCGAGTAGAACTCGTACTAAAACCTAGGGTTCCGTACCCTCCATAAAAACTTCTAATTTTCTTTCTTATAAAAATAAATATATATCAATTCCAATTCAATTTGAAGTTACTCTGTTTTGAAAATATAAACAAAATCATATTTAATGATTGTATTAATAAAAAAACAAATTTAATTTTTAAATATTTTTTTAAAAGATTATTTTTAAAAAATAGTGAATTAATAATGATTACTAAATATATAACTAAATCAAATAAATTTTCTGTTATTGAAATTAAATTAATTAATTAATTATTAATAAATTAATAATAAATTCATAATTAATAATAAATTATTAATTAATTATTTTTTCTAAAATCTACATGTGAAAACACATAAGTGTACCAATTTTCATCTCTCTATGTAAAAAACGGTGAGCGCTAGGGTAAAATACACGCTTATTTGAAAATTTTTTTTAAAAATTTGAGTTATTCGCTAAAAAAAATTTGAAAATCAAATCCGATCATGTTTGCTATATTTTTCCTAAAATATGCAAATGAAAATATATAAAATAAAAAAAAATGCAGTCCAATAGATCAAAATTTGTGAAAACCAAGGGGGGTACACACTTTTTTTATAAATCAAAAAAAAAATTTTCAGTTTTTCGTAAAAAAAAAAGTATGAAGATGAACTCCAATAATTTTTTCTGTATGTTGGTTGAAAACTACACGAAAAAATAAATAAAAATGTATAAGGGCGATCCACTAGATTAAGAATTGCGAGAACCAGCAAGGGTTAAAGTATTTTCGAGCTTGCAAAAAGAGATTTCAGTTTTTCGATGAAAACACCATGAATATCAATTCTAAACACTTCCGCTATATTTTTCCTGTAATCTACGCGTAAAAATACATAAGTGTACCAATTTTCATCTCTTCAGGTAAATAACTGTGGGCGCTATAGTAAATAACACGCATTTTTGACGAAATTTTTAAAAACATTGACTTTTTCACTGAAAAAAATATGAAGATAAAATTCAATTATGTTCGGTGTATTTTTCCTGAAATCTACATATGAAAATTCATAAAATAAGCAAAAATATAGTCCAATAGGCCAAGAATTGTGAAAACCAAAGGGGAGTACACACTTTTTTTTCTAAAACGAAAAAAAAATTTTAGTTTTTCGAAAAAAAAAATATGAAGATGAACTCCAATAATTTTCTCTGTATGTTTGTTGAAATCTACACGAAAAAATAAATAAAAATGTATAACGCCAGTCCACTAGACTAAGAATTGAGAGAACTAGCATAGGTATAATTATTATCAAAAATTGAAAAAAAAATTTAGGTTTTCGTTCAAAACGCAATGAAGATCAATTCTAATCATTTCCACTATATTTTACCTGTAATCTACACGTAAAAATACAAAAGTGTACCAATTTTCAGCTCTTTAGGTAAAAAACTGTGAGTGCTAGGGTGAAATAAACGCTTTTTTGACGAAATTTTTAAAAACTTTAAGTTTTTCGATGAAAAAAATATGAAGATCAAATCCAATCAGGATCGCTATATTTTTCCTGAAATATACTGACGAAAATACATAAAATAAGCAAAACTGCAGTCCACTAGATTAAGAATTGAGAGAACCAGCAACGGTTAAAGAATTTTCGAGCTTTCAAAAAGAGATTTTAGTTTTTCGATGAAAAC